ATCTGAATTATGGAACTGAAAGTGAAAGTAGTCAAACTGAATTTTTAATAAACCAAAATACAGTTTCAAAGCAAATTAATTCAGATACAAAACTTTCAATTTAGTAAAATTCATTTTCAAACCAATTTATTCCATTTGAAATTCTGCAAAATCAGATTCAATCTGAGCAATTCAAATTCACTTCCTGCTGGCACAAGATTTATCCCGTACACGTGGATCAAAGCCAAAGAATCCACCCTCAGACACGTATGAAACGTTCAAATCTGTAAACTACCGATAAAAATCAAGTAATTAAGAACAGAGCAGCCTTTATTATCAGGCCTGACTTGTTTGGTTGTGTGATAAAAATTCTACATTTATGTGTGAAAATCACAGAAATACGACATTTCTGACGTGTTCGAGTGGATTTCTTTCCCTTTCAGGAGGAAGCTTGAGAGCAGCGCAGTTGTGATGAAGATGATGTGCAGTAAAAAATGACGACGCTCTGCAGGAGAAAAACACAAAAAGAGTGGTGGATCTCAGGACACACCTGTCCTCCTGTGAGCTTTTTGGCTTTCTCATAAAGCTTGTCAATATGGGAGGTGAAGGCCTGGAAGTCGGGGATGACGAACTTCTTTCGGAAGGCCTGAGTGAGCAGGACAATGTTGCTCTGGACACACCTGATGGACGAAACCACAAACAGGATGCTCAATCACTGTGACGGCATGCAGCTCAGGAAAATTAAAAAAAATAAAAAAGTTTGCCAACCAAGTGAGCAACTGAAGTCTGACAAACTTCTGTGAAGAGAAAAGGTTTGATGAAGAAGCATCGTTAAATCTCAGCGATGAGCTTTGATTCTGTCAGGATTGAAACGATTCATTCTGAAGCTTCAACGTGAAATATAGACCTGATAATAAAACCTGTTATTAAAACAGCCTAATCCATGGTAATAAATGAAAAGCTGTATTAATTTATAATGTTTTTATACCCAAATAACTCAGAGATTAGAGTTAGATATGATACAACTACAGCTGTGTTTTAAATAATGTTATTTTAATGTGACTCCTCTAAATTAAACGTTAACAGCACATAGATTTAATTTACATGTTTCCATTAAAACAGAGTGATTTTAATTACGGTCAGTCCTGGTGAAATGTCACTGATGATTTAAGGCTCTAATGCTTCTCAGAAAGCTGTCTGATGGATGTTTAATGTTGGTTTCAACAGCAGTTTTCCCGTTAGAACAGGGGTGGTRCAGTCCTGGTCCTCGAAGGCTGTCCAGCACGTTTTACCTGCTGGTCCGCTCCGACACACCTGATCTGAATGATTATCAGGTTTTTAATAATTGAATCAGGTGCGCTGGAGCAGAGGAAACAAGTAAAACAGGAAGAGGACCAGGAACGCGCCACCCCTGGGTTAGAAAGTCCTGCTGAGGCTGAACCGAGTCCAGATTATTTATATAAATAAATAAGAGTAAAAATCAAACATTGTGACACAAAACAGAGTTTCAAACATGACCGGACAAGCCTCACTTCTTGAAGAGGTGCCTGTCGAGCGTTACGCCGTCTGGAGTCGCCTTCAAGGTCTGTTTGAGGGTCTCCATGCACTCCTTCAGGCGGGGATCTCCGGTCCGGAGTCCGGTACCTTTGAGMGCCTGAATAATAACAAAGAGACAGAATTGAACGTTTAATGCTAACGTTGCTATTAGCATGATCTGTGATGCCGTTTAATGCTAGCATTGCTATTAGCATGATCTGTGATCCTGTTTAATGCTAGCATTGCTATTAGCATGATCTGTGATCCTGTTTAATGCTAGCATTGCTATTAGCATGATCTGTGACCCTGTTTAATGCTAGCATTGCTATTAGCATGATCTGTGATCGTTTAACGCTAGCGTTGCTAATAGCATGATTTGTGATGCCGTGTAATGCTAGCGTTGCTATTAACATGATCTGTGATGTTGAAGTGATGGTTTGTATTTTTATGAAAAGTTCATAAAATGAGATTCTGGTAAAAAGGTTATAAATAACTATCTTATGTGTTACAGTTTGTCTCAGCTTGAAGAAACAGAGTTCAGTCCTGACCAGAAAGACGTGCTAACAACTTTGTTCAAAATGGCCGCCACTACTAATAGACTTTGGCCAACACCAAAATGACTAAAATGTTGWAAATTTTACAGATCCCCAACACATCACCTGAGCGCTAACTGATAGCATGAAGTCTCAAATAGCAACAGCTAGCTGTGGTGATTTTTATTTCTACTTTTACTTGTTAGCTACTGTCAGCCTAATGCTACTTGTAGCTTCTCCGTAGCCTAACGCTACCTTTTAACCTATTGCTAGTTTTAGCCTCTTAGTAGCCTTATGCTACCTTTTAACCTATTGCTAGTTTTAGCTCCTCAGTGGCCTAATGCTACCTTTTACCCTATTGCTAGTTTTAGCCGCTTATTAGCCTAATGCTACCTTTTAATCTATTGCTAGTTTTAGCTTCTTAGTAGCCTAATGCTAGATTTAAGCCAATTGCTACTTGTAGCTTCTCCGTAGCTTAATGCTACTTTTTAACCCATTGCTAGTTTTAGCTTCTAATTAGTCTAATGCTAGTTTTTGCCTATTGCTATTTGTAGCCTTAAAGTAGCCTATTGCTAGTTTTTACCTTATTTTAGGTAACCTTTAGCAACTTTTAAAGCTCTTGCTGCTTTTAGCTAAGCTTTAGCTTTTTGCTACTAATATGTTTTAGCTAGCCTATTGCTACTTGTTAGCTTATTGCTACTTTAACTTTTAGCTGACCTAAAGCTCCTTTGTTCAACTTGACTTATAGTTWCTTTGAACAGTCAATTTAACAGACAGAGCTAAAATCTGGTGTGGTGGTAGCTGAAAGTCAGCCTCGACACAGTGCTAACTGTTTGAGCGAGGTCTTCTTTGCAAACAACGACAGCTAGCTGTAGCACTTCCTCATAATATTTCTGCAGCAGTAACTGCATAATGCAACATTTGGGGCAACGTAAAAAGGTCTGAAACGATAAATTGCTATAAATTATTTGCGATTTAAGTCATTTTAAGACAGAATGTTGCTCTGTTTTTAATCTCGATCAAACTAGCCGTTAGCTCGTCAATCAGCTCAGAATTAAGCTGCATTTCTCTGAGGTCGTTTGAAGCACCATCTGCTACAGGTAAGATAATAACACTTCAGAACAAAYGCAGAGGACTTACTGTGAGAAACTTATGAGCAGGAATTTTCTCTTGACCTTCGGCCACCGTGTAGAAGAGCAAATCCTCCAAACTGGGGAGGATTCCTGGATGTCTTCTCCTGGGTTAGAACGTWAGGAAACAGAGTTAGACTCTTAGAATTTAAAGAACTTATTCTTTATTTTTGTTTCAAAGTGTCCATGCGACCATAAACCACTCCAGATTAGAAGAAAGTCTGACAGGTTGGAAGCAGAAAATCAAGATATGCAGGAGTTTTTACAGTTTGGATTAGAGGAATTTAAATGACTTTGGTCAGGAACGCTCTTTGGCACTGTGCGGTTTACTCCCACCTGCTGTGCTGGAGCAAACACGAGGCTTATCTCTAACTGTTCACACACTTATCACATCAGTCGCTCAGAGATTTCACAGACTCAGAATCAAAACAGACGATAAAAACCCTCAGAATCCAAAGAGGAAAAACCACTCGACCTGCTCTGTATGGTATCGGTCTGCTTGTTTGTCTTTGTGCCTATGGTGTAATAATAATAATAATGATGTGATTGTGATGCTGTGATTCTGAGTGTTTTATGTGCTGCAGAACAGGAACCTGCTGTAAAACAGCAATTATGCTGAGTCAGGCTTGATTTTTAATAATCTTTTCCTGTTAAATAAATAAATCAAATCTGTTTGTTTTACAACCTGCAGACAGAAACCTCAGAGTTTTACATCAATTCATGACGTCTCAGCAGATCAAAGTGACACAAACTGACTCTGAACTGATGAGAATAAAGTCAGGCTGTGAGACAAACGTCACAGAGTGGAAACAAGTCACGACTCATCTGGATCTGAAGATTATAATTTCATTTACAACTCAGATTATTTTAAAGAGCCTCAATGTGAGGATTATTAATCCTGTTAAATAGAATTCTAAAAGGATAACTAGATGAATGAATGGATGGATGGATGAATGGTTAGGTGGATAAATGGATGGATGAATGGTTAGGTGGATGGATGAATAGTTAGGTGGATGGATGGATGGATGAATGGTTAGGTGGATGGGTGGGTGGATGGATGGGTGAGTGGGTGGATGGATGGATGGGTGAGTGGGTGGATGGATGAATGGTTATGTGGATGGATGGATGGATGGTTATGTGGATGGATGAATAGTTAGGTGGATGGATGGTTATGTGGATGGATGAATAGTTAGGTGGATGGATGGATGGATGAATGGTTAGGTGGATGGATGGATGAATGGATGAATGGTTAGGTGGATGGATGAATGGTTAGGTGGATGGATGGATGAATGGTTAGGTGGATGGATGGATGAATGGTTAGGTGGATGGATGGATGGATGAATGGTTAGGTGGATGGATGGATGGATGAATGGTTAGGTGGATGGATGGATGGTTAGGTGGATGGATGGATGGTTAGGTGGATGGATGGATTGGTGGATGAATGGTTGGATGAATGGATCAGTGACAGGATGAATGGATGGATGGCTAGATGTCTGGATGAATTGTTCGATGGATGGGTGAATGGTTCAATGGATGGATGGATGAATGGTTGGTTTGGTGGATGGATGAATTGTTCGATGGATAGATGGATGGTTCGATGGATGGATGAATGGACCAGTGACAGGATGAATGGACCAGTGACAGGATGAATGAACCAGTGACAGGATGAATGAACCAGTGACAGGATGAATGAACCAGTGACAGGATGAATGGACCAGTGACAGGATGAATGAACCAGAGACAGGATGAATGGGTGAATGTGTCTTTAGTATCTTTAATGTGGTAGGTGGACTAACTGGAGTTATAGTTTCAACTCTAAACTTTAATGTTTACAGAAACCTGGATGTGGACCCCCCCCTTTAAACTCTGGTTTCATTCAGACCCATTTTTCAAGTTTTCCTCTCAGCTTTGTTCAGGTGTGAACCTGTAGAAACACAGAGGACCTGCAGGGACCGACAGCAGGAACTGGTTTTCTTCACGGCCTCATTAGTTCAGGAATTATTGATAAGATTGATTTAAACATTAATGAGTTCACACCCCGTGACTCACAGAGACGGGACGCCTCGGGTCAAAATAAAACGTGAACAACGAGCTCTGAATGACAGCTGGGCGTCGTTTCTGTTTCACTTTCAGTTTATTACAGTTATTGTCACATAAAACCCTCACTGAGCTGAATACGAGCCGTTTTATTACACCATCCGCCACGTCACGTGTGAGGAATACCAGAGCAGGATTCCACACATTCTCCGGTCTTTATTCCCGCCCAGACTGCTGCAGACCCCAGATTAATAAAACCAACATGGAGGACGGTTCACACGGCGCTCTGCAGAGCAGCGAGCTTCGTTCTGTTGGACCTTTACACACTGAAACYAACTCTATTCATCTTAACGGTTCTTAAATCAAGACTTCACATTTTATAACTCAATGAGAAGAATACCAGAGCTCTAAATATGACTAAATAATTTATTTAAACTTCAAAGGTTTTTATTTTTCCTTTGATGTTTAGCAGAAAGTTTAAATCTTTACATTTTGTTCCAACAGATTCATTTTAATCAATGTTCAGTAACATTTTCTTGTTTTTCAGAACATTTGCAACACTTCTGCTGCAGCTACTGACTACAGCTACCTTTAGCTTCTTTAGCTTAGTTAACCTTTCGCTACTTTTACCTACTAGTTAGCAAGCAGCTACTTTTAGGCCTACTGCTATTTTTAATATCTAACTAACCGATAGCTACATTTAGCATCTAACTAGCCTACAGCTACTTTTGAACCTATAGGAACTTGTAGCTACTTATGATCATATTGCTATTTTTTATCCTCTAACTGCTTCTACCTGCTAGCTGGCCTATGGTTACTTTTAAGCCTATTACTACTTTTAGCTTCTAGCTAACCTGCAGCTACTTTTAGCGAGCATAAAGCTACTTTTTGGTCTACTGCTAATTTTAGTTAGTCTATAACTAGTATKATGTCTATTGTTACTTAACATCCAAGTAGCATATTGCTATTTTTTTTATATTTTAACTATTACCTGCTAGTTAGAATATAGTTACTTTTCAGCCTGTAGCTACTTTCAGCTCCTAGCTAATCTGTAACTACTTTTAGCCTCTAGCTAGCATAAAGCTATTTTTAGTCTACTGCTACTTTTAGCTACTCTGTAACAAATTTTATGTCCATTTCTACTTTTTAACATCCAGGTAGCATATCTCTATTTTTTATACTTTAACGATTACCTGCTAGCTAAAATATAGCTACTTTTCAGCCTGTAGCTACTTTTAGCTTCTCGCAAGCATAAAGCTACTTTTAGTCTATAGCTAATTGTCTTTTGCTACCTTTAACATCTAAATAGCATATTGCTACTCTTTTAGCATAATGATACTTTAAGATAGTTACTACTTTGAGCCTTGTAGCGTCAAGCTACTTATAGCTTCTATGTATGTTATTGCTACTTTTTAAATTACTACATAGTGTACATTTCTGCTAGGATGTAGCAAATATTCAGACTGTTGCTTCTTTTAACTACTCAGTATCTACTTTTGAATCTACTGCCATTTTTCAGCCCATTATTTAGCTCCTTACTACGTTCTTTTACCTACTAGTGAGCCTGCAGCTACTATTAGCATCTAGCTAGCCTACAGCTATGTTTACTATGTTTATCTTCCACCTAGTTTATGTCCAGTTTGTTCTGCTGAGCTGTGAAGGAGCCCGTGGCCACATCAGCAAGTGAAATTCCAACATTTGGTCTCTCCTGGCAGCTCTGCTGTCCTCCGCAGGACAAACACTCCACACGCAGCCGAGGTAACGCAGCTAAACGTGTCCAAAAACACACACGGTCCATGTTTGTCAGGCGTGCAGAGACACACGAGCCTGTTGACCCGACATCTGTCACTGAAGAAAACCCTCTGATGATGAAAGCGGCCACAGAGGCAACACTGAGACGTCTGCTGGGGACATGTCCACACGGTCCCYCGTCCCTCACAGTCACTGGACAGAAAGAACACTTTAACGTGTTTACACTGGCAGATCCGCCGCTCCCCGAGCAGCCGATCATCACCCTGAGGTTTAATCCTTTCACGTCCAACAAACAGGAAGTGAAGTAAACGAGCAGCTTAACGAGCAAACAGACCAGGTGTGAACTGAACGAACACTTTGTTTTCTCCGTTCGGACATTTGAAACGTCTCAGTGGAGCAGAARGCTCGGTCCATTTGCTGCTGAACGGCCGCTCTAACGCCGTTCGGGGTTTCCTGGAAACCAGGCGGCGGGACGGGTCGAACACGTTTCTGTTTCCTGTCACAATGGTTGCTCTCTCCTTTCAGATCCGTATCCTGGCAGCATCAGGTTCTGTTGATCAGGTGTGTTAACGCAGAGAAACATCTAATCCATGCAGGACGGTGGAGCTCCAGGACCAGGGTCGGACCTCCAGGACCAGGGTCGGACCTCCAGGACCAGGGTCGGACCTCCAGGACCAGGGTCGGACCTCAGAGCTGCTGCCTCACAGTTTGAACCGTGTCAAACACAAACTCTGACCTGTGTTTACGCTACAAACCATCCGGACTTAAACCCACTTTGTCATTAATAACTTGTTTTTTTATCATCTCGGTTTGAGAAAATCTGCTTTATAAACACATTATTTGCACTGAGACAGTTTTTCCTTCACAAAAAACTATTGTAAACAGTTTTAAGTTCTAAAAGACGATTAAACGAACACTTATACAGAGCTTTAGTGTTTGTTTCACTTTGTGAACATTAAAATCTGTTTAGTTCTTATTCTTCGGTACATTTTTTGCAGTCTAACAATACTGCTGTAGCTATTAGCCATCTTTAGCTTCTAGCAAAGCAATTCCTTTTTTATATTTTTACTTCTTTTGCCTGATAGCTGGATTATTTCTTTGTAATTCTTGCCAGCCTATTGCTGTTGTTAACCCTTAGCTTCTAGTTAGCCTATTGCTATTTTTTATTTTTTTAATCTTTTTAATACTTTTACCTGATAAACTTTCTCTTCTAACTAGCCTAAYGCTATCTTTTTTATCTTCTTGCTACTTCTAACTGCTAGCTAGCTTTTTGCTATATATCCTTTTGCTCATTTTAGCTTCTAGTTAGCCCGTTGCTATTGTTTAAAAATATTTTATACTTTTACCTGATAGTTRGCTTATTGCAACCTGTTCTACCTAGCCTATTGCTACTTTTASCTTTCAGCTAGGCTACTGCTATCTTTTTATTCTTTTGCTACTGTTACTGCTACCTAGCATATTGCTACTTATCCTTTTGATTATTTTAGCTTCTTGCTAGCCTACTGCTCTTTTTTCATTCTTTTGGCTACTTCTAACTGCTAGCTTTTTGCCATTTATCATTTTAGCTTCTAGTTAGCCCATTGCTATTTTTTTATATTTTATACTTTTACCTGATAGTRAGCTTAATGCAACYGGTTTTTGCTACTTTTTGCGTTCAGCTAGGCTACTGCTTCTCTTTTTATCCTTTTGTTACTTTTACTGCTACCTAGCATATTGCTACTTATCCTTTTGATTATTTTAGCTTCTTGCTAGCCTACTGCTCTTTTTCCCCCCATTCTTTTGGCTACTTTTAACTGCTAGCTTTTTGCCATTTATCATTTTAGCTTCTATTTAACCCATTGCTATTTTTAAATATTTTATTCTTTTACCTGACATTTAGCTTATTGCAACCTGTTATTGCTACTTTTAGCTTTCAGCTAGCTATCTTTTTTTTTATCATTTAGCTACTATTAACTGCTAGCTAGCTTTTTGCTATTTGTCCTTTTGCTTATTTTAGCTTCTAGCTAGCCCATTGCTACTATTTTTAATTTTTTGTGTCCATTTTTACCTGGCAGCTAGCCTTCAGCTGTTTTCAGCCTGTTGATACAACAGTTCTGATGTGTTGGTCCAGATTTACACTCAGTTTTGTTCATATGCAGCTAAAGATGCTTTGTTTACATTGAGTGCAGACCCGCACAGTAATTTATGTGGAAAACATTCAGGATAACCTTTAATATTCAGGATGACCTTTTCTAAAGGTCTGGTTTGAATGTTTGCAGTCGGAACCTTTAAGTGGGCCGAGCAGAACCTGAGACCCACCGGCTGTGACCTCTCCTGTGGAGGTCACAGCAGAACCTTCTCTAACAGCTGATGACCAGCAGTAACACCAGAACCAGATCCAGGTCCAATTAGGGCGGGATGAGTCGGAAAGATTAAAGCTCACATGCTGTTAAACCTCCAGCTGTAAGCCGGGACGTCTTCAGCTGTTTATAAATACTAATTACTCCGCTTTGGGGTTTGTTTTCCATGTTTATTACTGGTTTATTACGGTGGTTATTACCGCCGGGCGGACTGCGTCATGCCCCCCACCCGCTGTGACGTTAGCAAACAGAACCGTACGAACCCCCCCCCTCCCTCCACAACAACCTACTTGTCGTTCCCTTCGGCGGCATCCTTCTTCAGCTGCTCCTCCAGCTCCACGGAGGTGGCGCCCTCCGTCTTCACGCAGTAGGAGCGGCGCTGGGCCGCGGCCAGGCGGCGCGGAGGTCCGGTCCTGGCATCGCCAGCCGGGACAGAACCGAAGCAGCGGCGGTGAGGCGGCGGCGGGGCCCGGGACCAGCTCCTCTGTCTACAGGCGGGAAACGGGCGCTTCAGTGGGGCTAGTTCGAACAACTCCTTCAGGACTGTGGAGAACCTGAAGTGGAACATCTCAACCTTGTGGCGCGAGGAAAGAAAAACGTGCGTCCCCTAGCGTGTCCGGATGTGAAGAGACGGCGCAGACACTGCTGCTTCCAGGCGGCGGATGAGTCACACGAACGCCGGGGTCCAAAAATAAATACAGGCGCTGGCCCCGCCCCTCTGCGCTCCTATTGGTGGAAAAACTTCTTCTGCCGCCAACACGCAGCGCGCCTGCGCACTGCCGCCACCTGCTGGTTCATCTGAGAAYTACACGGCAGAAATCTTTTTTTCAGCATCTAATCCATCTCTTTCCACAATGTTTCTGCTATTTCAATAATTCATGTATCAAAACTTTCAGCTCATTCATGTGAGGGGTGCTATGACTTTTAGTATTTCAGATATTTATACTTTTTTTTTTAGTTATTTCACCTTTTCAGCCACTTTTTTGCCATTGAAAATGAACGGATAACGTCCTTAAAATACTTTAAAATGTTTCTAAATCTTTACAGAACCTTACACATTTTATTCTGGTTCTGCTCTTTTTCACTTTATTGTGCTAATTTTAGCTACTTATTTATTTATTATTTTATTTATTTACAATTTTTTTTAGCTTTTTTCTGCTATTTCAGTTTTTCTGCTTTTTTTCTACGTTTTTTGTGCTTTTTTTCCTGCTACTTTGTACTCTTTAGACATCTTACAGATGCTTTCGGCTGTATTCAGCTGTTTGCTGCAGTGATTTTCTGTTATCAGCTAAAATTACCTTTTTAGGCCAAACACACATTTTTGTGGTTATTACAACTTTTTTCAGCTAAGTTATTCTCCTTATGCTTTCTTATGCAATTTCAGCTGTTTTAGTCACTTTAATATAAATGATCCCTTTTATGCAATTTTATGATTTTTTTTTCTGTTTTAGCTATTTTTCAACTGATGCGCCTGTTAAACAAGAAGTGCGCTTTTATTTTGAAAGGCGCTCTTAAAGGAAAGCACTGGTGCTGCAGGCCTGCAGCCTGAAACTCACGTGTGGACCTGGTGTGTAATCATTTTGTGTCTGTAATTTAACATTTGTAATAACAATAATAATTGTATAGACACGTTTATAGTTGCTGCATTTATTTCTTCACCACTGGAGTGAGCTGCTGTAACACTTTATTTTATTGTCTGCATATAATAAAYCTATATTTAAAACACAAATTCAAACATCTTCCCCTCCATCCAATAATTGTTTGTCTTAATTAGCCTTAAAGTTTCTTAAATCTCTCAGGTCTTAAAATGTTTACACATGAGGATGATTGTAATTCGTCTCAGTTATTAAAATAATTGGTAACATTTATTTATTTGTTTTCAATTATTTACAAATGCCTCTCGCAACTAGTTATTTTGTGTTAAATTAGACTAAATCCAGGGTTTTTCATGAGATTGGATCCATTTTTAATGGGTTTTTTCAGCCCCGGGTCTTGTCTCGCAGGACGCTCACTGCTCGTCTCCCTCCAGTCCGGACCGTGTTTCCTGTCAGACTAACATCTGGGAATAAAAGCCCACACAGTTTCAGCTTCGCGTCACGTCATACCCGAACCAGAACCATCACTTTCATAAGAAGTTGCCACGAAAGCAGCTGAAGCCGGGCAGAGCAGCAGGATGAGGACGTTTCTGAGCTGCGCCCTGTGCCTCCTGGTCTCCTCACAGGTCGGGTTCTGCTCCTTTTGGACCGCCTCGGATGAGCCGGACCCAGAGGTGAAGATAGAAGTTCTGTTCAAGCCCGAGGAGTGCACCAGAAAGAGCAAGAAGGGAGATCTGATTAACGCTCACTACGACGGCTTTCTGGCCGAGGATGGTTCCCAGTTTTACTGCAGGTTTCTGGTTTTTCCTCGTTAAAAGTTGCTTTAATGATTGTGCACGTTGTGCACGTGCACAGTTAGTAAAAAGTTAAAATAAAACATAACGGAATTAGTYTTTATTTATTTAACAAACTGCATTAAAAGCTGAACAGAAAGCAGCAGCTTTCTGGTCCAGGTGTGTTTAAAAACAACACCAAGGTGGAAGGACAGCAGCAGTGACGTCAGAGCAGCTGTCCATCAGGCTGAGGTCAAAGGTCATTTACAGGCCATCCTTCTGCACAGGTGAAAACTTTCAGGTGTGTTTTTCAGTCGGACGGACAAGGCCGGGCACCCGCAGTGGTTCGTGTTGGGGGTGGGACAAATCATCCGAGGCCTGGACGTGGGGATGATGGACATGTGTCCCGGAGAGAAGAGGAAGGTCACCGTCCCGTCAGAGCTGGCCTTTGGTGAAAAGGGCAAAGGTGGGCGGAGCCACAAGGATCTTATCGTCTCCTGAGCATGCTCTGAACCTTTCTGCTCTGCATGCAGCTAAGCTAATGTCTAAGCTAAAGGCTATGCTAACAGCTGAGCTAAAGGCTAAGCTAACAGCTAAGCTAAAGGCTAAGCTAACAGACTTCCTGCTCGGTGTTGTGTCTTGATGGGAACGAGTCTTCGGCTTCTCTCCAGAACCTTTCGGCTGCAGAACAAGTCTGCTCCTGTCTCCAGCTGCAGGTTCTGCTGGTTTCTGGACCGGTCCAGCTTTGACGAGTCTTTATTTCTCTGGTTTTAAAGGTCCGGTGCCGCCCAACGCCACCGTGGTGTTCGAGGTGGAGGTTCTGTCCGTGTCCCGCGGACCCCGCAGCATGGAGGCGTTTGGACACATAGACCTGGACCAAGACAGGAGTCTGACCAGGGACGAGGTATCTGAACCACAGGTTCTACTGGTCCTGTCTCTAGACCGGTTCTGACCCGACCTGAACCAGCCCGACTCTGCAGGGTTTACTAACATAACCAGACCGTCATAGACTCTGGATTCAGGTCCACAACCCTGATCCAGGTCCAGAATCCTGATCCAGTTCCAGAACCATCCCAGAACCCTGATCCAGGTCCAGAACCCTGATCCAAGTCCAGAACCATCCCAGAAGCCTGATCCAGGTCCAGAACCCTGATCCAATTCCAGAACCCTGATCTAGGTCCAGAACCATCCCAGAACCCTGATCCAAGTCCAGACCATCCCAGAACCCTGATCTAGGTCCAGAACCCTGATCCAAGTCCAGACCATCCCAGAACCCTGATCTAGGTCCAGAACCCTGATCCAAGTCCAGACCATCCCAGAACCCTGATCCAGGTTCAGAAACCTGATCCAAGTCCAGAATCCTGATCCAGTTCCAGAACCATCCCAGAACCCTGATCCAAGTCCAGAACCCTGATCCAAGTCCAGAACCCTGATCTAGATCCAGAACCCTGATCCAGATCCAGAACCCTGATCTATTTCCAGAACCATCCCAGAACCCTGATCCAGGTCCAGAACCATCGCAGAACCCTGATCCAAGTCCAGAACCCTGATTTAGATCCAGAACCCTGATCCAGGTCTAGAACCATCCCAGAAACCTGATCCAAGTCCAGAATCCTGATCTAGTTCCAGAACCATCCCAGAACCCTGATCTAAGTCCAGAACCATCCCAGAACCCTGATCCAGGTCCAGAACCCTGTTCTAGGTCCTGAACCCTGATCCAGGTCCAGAACCCTGATCCAAGTCCAGACCATCCCAGAACCCTGATCCAGGTCCAGAACCATCCCAGAACCCTGATCCAGGTCCAGAACCCTGATCCAAGTCTAGAACCCTGATCTAGATCCAGAACCCTGATCCAGGTCCAGAACCATCCCAGAACCCTGATCCAAGTCCAGAACCATCCCAGAACCCTGATCCAGTTCCAGAACCCTGATCCARGTCCAGAACCCTGATCCAGGTCCAGAACCACCACAGAACCGGGCTTTTGGACCTGTAGCTGACATCAGTTTTTGGACCAGGTTTAAACCTAAAATGCATGAATTTGAATTTGAGACAAAATCTGAAACATTTGTCAGAACTTGTGTTTTTACAGATTATCTGATCAGCAGTACCTGGATGATAATCCAGAACCAGATTAGTTTTTAATCTAAGCTTTATTAAAAACAGAACAGCCTCTAAAACGTTTCTCTCACCAGGTGAAGGAGTACCTGAAGCTGGAGTACGAGAAGGGCGGGAAGCCGCGCGACGACCCGTTCTACGACAAGATCATYGCCGACATTTTCCGCAAGAGCGACTTTGACCGAGACGGAGTGATYAGCGCCAAGGAGTACAATATTTATGATCACGACGAGCTGTAATCCCACGCTTAGGCTTTTATAAAATAAAAATAAAAACAGAAACTCAGACGTGTTTTTATTCATCTCTTTAAAAGAACTCGAATCTCATCAGAAACACGTTTATTCACGAATAAAAACATTCACAGAGTTTGTGGTGGGTTTAATCTCAGATCTGGATCCTGATCGGTGGTAATCTGATGTCGGCTGCTCTCACCTCCTCCGTCATGTCCAAGCCCAGCGGTGCCCTGCGCCCAGAAACAAAGATTAAAATCAACAAACGGACCTTTTTCTCTGCAGAGTTTCAGAACTCTCACTTCGGCTCGTAGAACACGTCCACGTTTGGCGGCAGGATCCCTAATCCCTCCCTCAGACGCTCCACGCCGTTCCTGTTGGGGGAAACAGAAGGATTAAGAGGTGAAAACCGCTGACTCGGGCGATGCCGCGGCTCGCTCTCGTACCAGGCGATCATCACGCCGTTGTCGGTGCAGAACTCGGCCGGAGGACAGAGCAGATGGAGTCCGGTCTCCTCAGTGATGATGGACAGAGCCTTCCGGATGTACTCGTTACTCGCCACGCCTCCGGACAGCACCTGCAGAACTTAGAGCCGTCAGCGTCTAAAGACATGGGCAGTGAGGTTTTGTGACAGGTTTGAAGCACGCTCCTTCAGGGAAAAACATTTAAAAATAAAATAAACTGTTTAGTTGTTAATTTAACACAGTATTTCTTTAACAAACCGACCTCTGTAGCATGTGGAAGAACCATACGCAGCCACAACAGCCTCCTCCTCGCGCTGTTTACCAGCTTGGTCACAGCTGACCAAAAATATAGTTTTTCAAATGCTAAACCAATAAATAAAATGTAGCRGAAGCTAGCTAAATGCTACAATGAATGTCTTCTCCGAGCTGAGAACTGCTGGGACTGTTTGTGTGTTAGTTAGCTGCTAGCAATCATGAAGTTGGCATAACCTACTTTAGTGGAAGCGCACGTATTTCTAAGTTAGCTAAAGTGAAACGTTAGCTTCACTATTAGCGGGTTTGCTAAACAATGCCAACCTATAACTCATTGATATTTAACAGATATTGCTGGGCACAGCTAATCAAAAGATTTTGTTTCGCTATCTCATAAATCGCTAACTAAAAATGTGAACTTGTTAAAGCTAAACGTGTTAATAAAAATTAGCGGAAGCTTAATTGCTAACTACTAAAACTCACTAAGCGTGCGTCGAAGACTAGTGAGACTGACACAAACCTGTTGATGTTAGCTTGTTAGTTAGCTGTTAGCATACTTATAGTTACAGGTTTTTAAAGTTAGCATAAATGCTAATCCTCTAAGCAAACATTTAGCTCCACTACTAGCGGGTAAGCTAAACCATACACAACACTGCTAATTCACTGATTTTCAACTATTATTGCTGGTCACAGCTAATTAAAATTTTGTTTAGCTATCTTAGAAATCACTAAATAAAAATGTAACCTTGTTAATGCCAAACATATTAATAAAATTAGAAGCTTACACTAACTGCTAATTGCTAACCAATAAGACGACTGTCACTCAGTCTGCGTCTGAAGAGACTGACACAAACCTGTTGATGTTAGCTTGTTAGTTAGCCATTAGCAGACTTAAAGTTGGCAAAGCGTAATTTAACGAAAGTTAAATCTGTGTACGGTTTTTGAAGTTAGCAGAAATGCTAATCAGCTGAGCTAACAGTTAGCTCTGTTGTTAGCTGTTAGCGCATTAGCACTCACCAGGGTGGGATTCTCTGACGGCAGCAGGTTGTTTGCTTTACAGAACAGGATGGCTCGGTGCGTACGTTTGGTGAGATTACAGGCCACAGCGTGCTGAGTGGCGGCTGCGATGTCGTTCACGCACGACAGCAGAGTTCCTGCTTCTACACCTGCAACGTCAGGTTTATAAACGATTTGTGACCGTTAGCTTCAGCTGATATTCAGGTAAGTTTCTTACCCTCCTCGGCCTCCATTTTTATTATTTTCGAGGTCATGTGAGACGTGATTCCGGCGAAGGAGAAGCAGCAGTTCCTTATTCGTCCCATGGGTGTCTGGATGGCAAACTTCTTCCAGTCGCCATCTTTGGCCAGAAGCTCTATGGCTTGACCTCCGCTCAGCGTGGAGCACTCCGGGTGTTTGATGAGGGACAGACGCCGGGCCACCTGCGAATCCACACACCTTTATTTGTTTAYGATCACAGAACCACCGTGAAGAGTTGAAAAGACACAAACTTTATCCAGGCAGTCCCCGGGAGCTACGTCCTGCCCGCGACCCAAAAGCAGGAAGTCGTCCACCCCGCGAGCCACGGCGAGGAGCGAGTGTCCGCCGGAGATCAGCAGCACCAGGAAGGGGAAGGCGACGGGGCGGAGCATCCTGACGGTCAGGGCGTGGGCCTCCATGTGGTGGATGGGGATGAACGGCTTGTCGTGGCGCCTCACAAAGTTCCTGCTGAAGAGCACGCCCACTCCCAAACTCAGCGCAATACCGGGCTTTACGGTGGTGGCCACGGCGGACAGCTGGTCCGGGGTCACGCCGCTTCTGTCCAGCGCCTCCTGGACCACACGCTCRATGTTTTCTTTGTGGAGCTGCTGCGCCACTGGAGGGATGATGCCGCCGTTCCTGCAGCGAACAAACAGGAAACAAACAGGACCACCTGACACGTCTGAAAGGCCTGACACAGACCGTAAGAAGCCCAAACCACCAGGCTCACACCACCATGCTACCACCTCCTAACTGAGGCCTGGAGTACCGGATCCTGGTCCTTGAGAAAGTCAGGCAGAGTAATCAAACACAGATCCACAGATTTATGTTTCACTTTGGTGAAGTTTCCCTTYTGGATGTAACAGAGTTGATGTAATCCCATAAAAGTGACAAAAACAGACAAAGTTATTTTATTGCAGTGATTAATTTGACCTATATGTAGAAAATGTTACATTTACATCACATCATGGATCAGTCAGCAGCAGCATCTGATCAATATCTGATCCATGATGTGATGTACAGTTTTCACTGTAGATGATCTACTCTGAACAGTTTGGTCACTTTTATTTAGTGAAGCTCACCCACTCACCTGAGATGGACCTCTTTCTGTGAATGCAGGGATTCTCCCAGTATGCAACCAGTTTCGTCCAACACCGCAGCTCCGGTCTCGTCGCAGCTCGTCTCGATGCCCAAAACGAGCCTAGAGTGCGATGCCTTCACGAACACCTCGTGTTTCCACAGCGCCAGCCTCTGCAGGGTTTTTAAACTTGTTCCGAACATTGTTGTAACACGGAGGGACCAAATTYTAGGTCAAACACGAGCTGTCCATCTCATGAGGAGGATTGGTTCCTACCCGGACGCTTTAGGAGGTGACACATGCGTGCAGCGACCAACCGGAGCAGGCTGTTTGAGAAACTGCTCGTTTAATCGAAAARAATAGATGCCCACGGAGGTAAATGTGTTTTTATTTTTATTTCTAACCGTAAAAACATCAATATATAAATCTAATATTAGCAKTAATGTATTTTAGTCCTTTTACGTTTAGGATTTAGCTGTTTCCGTCAGGTTAGCTCAGCCGTGTTACCTTCAGGAACTGTCGTACTTTTCCAAAACGTTACGACTTTTTACTGCATGTTTACGACAAAACAATTTTAATAAAAAAACATAACGATAATGTGTTATACGTATTATATATTCACATGTCGTCTCAATCTATAATATTTGTATATTTCTGGAGGAACAGATAGTTATTAAATGAGTTTYACAGATTATCTTGAACCGGGCCAGAATCAGCACGTAAAAGTTTTCTAATTAAATTTAAGTATGCTGGTTATCAATTCAATAAATAAAAATTTAATCACAGTAATCTATAAAACAAAATTAGATCTACGCTCTATTTCTGTTATTCCAACAAGGTCTTTATCTGTCGTTAATTAAGACATTAAAAACCATTTTTACACGCTTGGTTTTAATTAGCATTTCATGTTAACTTTTCTGAAGGAGACATGGAACACCCTGCTTGTATTTTGGAGGAGCTAAAGCGGTTTGTTGTTAAAGACGCTCCGCAGACGGCGTATTACGTCCCAGATTTTATATCCGAAGAGGAGGAGTCCTACCTCCTGCAGCAGGTCTACAAGTCCCCCAGAACCAAGTGGACCCAGCTGTCGGGCAGACGGCTTCAGAACTGGGGAGGCTCGCCGCATCCCAAAGGCATGTTGGCGGAGAGGATCCCCGACTGGCTGCAGGCGCACTGCGAGAAGATCTCCTCCCTGGGAGCGTTCGGTGGGCAGACCGCCAACCACGTGTTGGTGAACGAGTACAAAGCGGGCGAGGGGATCATGCCCCACGAGGACGGCTCTCTGTACCACCCCACCGTCACCACCATCAGCCTGGGCTCCCACACCCTGCTGGACTTCTACTGGCCTGTCGCGGAGGGGGAGGCGCCGCAGACCGAGGAGAACCGGTACCTGCTGTCGCTGCTGGTGAGGCCGCGCAGTCTCCTGATCCTGCAGGACCACATGTACCGGCGCCTGCTTCACGGCATTCAGGGACGGGACGGCGACTCGCTAACGGATCGGGTGGTGAACCTGTCTGCTGCCGGGGCCCGGCCCGGGGACACGCTGACCCGGGGAACCAGGGTGTCCCTCACCATCAGACACGTCCCCAAAGTTATGAAGACGAAGCTGGTGCTGGGGAGGAAATAACCTGAGGAGTTACAAAGATTTGAATTATTTGTTGTAGATACCTCCAACGCCTCAGCTGCTGATGTATTTATTATTTTAAAATAATACGTTTTATTAGACTAGCCRTTAGCTTGTCAGTTGTTTCATAATTAAACTGTTTAATGAGCTATCTGCAACAGGTAAGATGTTGATTAACATAAAGRAACTTCAAATGATCTAAACTGACTTGATCAAACTGTTCAACTCAAACGGTTCTTGTTATTTTCTTATTTTTATTTGCTGAATATTAATTGGAGACACTTTAGCTGTAAAGTTTATATATTTAAAACTACAATAAAGGAAAAAAGACTTTTCTGATTGAGTTTTCTTAAATTTATTGTTTGTCTTTGTTGCATTTCTTAACAAATCTGAGGTTGATTTAAATCAGGAAACAGCTGTTTGTGTTTTGTTTCAGTAAAATTTAAAGACAGTAGAAATCTGTCCGTGTTCTGATCCGACCCGACTCATGTCTTGTCCTGCTGATGCCGACAGGAAGACGAGGGAGCGATGGAGCCCCAGACGAAGCGCCGGAAAGGCCCGGCGTACGACCCGGACTCCTGGGTGGCCCGCCCCGTCCTGTCAGACGAGCAGTCCGGAGAGGTGGAGCTGGTCGAGGCGCTCGCCGCCCCCGTCGTGGACAAGAAGGCGACGTCTCGGATCGTGCGGGCGCTGAACGACCTGTACCCGCTGAGCGGGCTGCAGCACATCAAACGGGTCCGGGCCCGTAAGGACCAGGGCAGCCCCCACACTCTGGAGGTCCTGGTGTGCCTGCTGAGAGACGCGCCGCAYGTCCAGCTGCTCCGCCTGGACTCGCTCTTACCCGGAGCGAGGTGGGAAGGACTGGGCGAGCCCTTTGTGGTCCAGATCCCGGCCCGGCCCCCGCTGACCCGACCTCAGTTTGAGGCGGCGAGCCAGCGCTGGCCCACTTCCTTCCACGAGGACAAGCAGGTGACCGTGGCCCTGCGAGGGGAGCTCTTCAGCGCCCGACAAAAAGCCGCCATGCACGGGTTCATGACGGCCGCCGTCGCCGCCGCCAGAGCCGGCCGGCGGCTGGGGATGGACGCCGTCGGAGCCGTCGTGGTCGACCCGGAAAGGGAGCGGGTTGTGGCGGTCGGCCACGACTGCAGAGGCGACCACCCGCTTCATCACGCCGTCATGGTCTGCATCGACCTGGTGGCTCGGAGTCAGGGGGGCGGGGCTTACCGCCTCGACGGTTACGAAGGCTGCAGGTTCACGTCAGCGGAGGCGGAGCCTCAGCCRTACATCTGCAGCGGGTACGACCTGTATGTCACCAGGGAGCCGTGCGTCATGTGCGCCATGGCGCTGGTGCACTCCAGGATCGGACGGGTTTTCTACGGGACCACCTCTGCCGACGGAGCGCTGGGGACCAGATTTAAAATCCACTCCCTGAAAGACCTGAACCACCGGTTTGAAGTGTTCAGTGGGGTCCTGAGCAACGAGTGTGACGGTTTACAAAAACAGAAATAAACACAAGCAAACATTTTAACACAAACTGTTTATTATTTTAATCTTTTTCCATCAAATTATTATTTTTCTGGAAAACTGGTCGAACTAAATGAACACGCCTCAAAATGTTTTTAATTTTTYCTAACTCCTGGATAAAACTCAAAATAAAGTTCACACTTTCAGATTTATTACGTTAGACAGTTTGTATGGAGGACCGAAACTGACATAAAAATTAAAACAGAAATATATAAATGACCCAATAAATAAATAAATACACTTAAATGCACCATATAAATTAAAAAAGAAAACTTCCTGCTTTAGAATTTAAACTATGGGATAAATCTTGTGCCAACAGGAAGTGAAGTTGAATTGCTCACATTGAATCTGAATGTGCAGAATTTGAATGCATTGGTTTGAAAATAAATTTTACTA